AATTTTTCTATATTCCTATGGAATATTTTGTATATTCCTTTGGAATTTTTTTCAGCGAAGCTTCAAAAAGGAATTAATAAAAAAAAATTGTGCAATATTTAAATAAAATATATTTCTAATATTCCAATGAAATATTTTCAAAATAATTTTTGCTACAAAATTAATTTTTTTATCCATATATTTTAATAAAGAAAAATCTGAAAATATTCATAAGTATTTATAGAAAGGAATAAATTTCATAATCAATGATTTTATTTTTATAGGTGAGATTTTGAAATGCGGGCAGAAAAGTCGAAGCTGTCAGATTTCATTGATTTTGACATGCGAATTACATAACTTTTTACTGTAATCTAAAATCGCACCCTCATATGTGGGCTTTCACAATAATAAAAAGAAATCTAACGCGTTTCAATATACCTGTCCCTTTTTTTTCTTTTTTTTGAAAGCGAATTTCTCTGTGTCAAAAGTACAAGTAGGTGAATCGTACAAGACGATTTTTAGTATATATATGTATATATAGTTGAAGTGGAAGTTTCTTTGAGTCTTGAATCGACCCATTTCAACACATTGGCCCTTGAATTATAGGATTATCATTATTACCGGTAACTATCTACGAACAAGCCGACTACATATATTTATGACGTCAGATACCATTGAGAAATAACGTCTGTTATAAGAAGATTACTTTTTTGGGGTTGCGCACCTAATCCAAGTTTCCTCAGATTTGCTCGTCAACAGATTATAAGCAAACAGTGAAAAAAAAAATCCCTAAATATTCCAAACATTTATTATTCGATTATTCGATAATTCGAAAATTCAAGTATTCAATAAAAAAAGTTATTAAATAATTTTAAGGGCACATTTTTCATTCCAATTGAAATTTTAATAATTTAAAAAAAAATTTAATTTCAATTATAATTATTTTTAAAAAAATTATATTTTAATTTAATAAATTTAATAAATAATATTAATAATTTAATGAAATCTTCCCAGGAGGATTCAAGAAATATATATATTTTTTGTAATATTCCCTCTTGTAAATTAAATAAAAATTACACGAATATATCAGTAATAATAAAATAATGTTCTTAAAAATAGTTTTATCATTTATTGGAAAAATATTCCAAGAATAAATATTTTGAATTAATATTTTTAAGAAAGGATATTTCTAATATATTTTCAAGAAACATAAAAAAAATATTCCAAGGGTAGAGCGTTTGAATTTCAACATCATCCCTTATGTGGGGTTTGATGCCGCCATCTGTATTGGGGTGTTTAGTACTAAATTTCCTATTCTCTCTTGATGGTAACAAACCCTCAATAAAACTCAAAAATAAATATTTAAAAAAAAAATTGATTCTCCTTTTTTGTTATTATTATGTTTTATAATTAAATATTTTATTTTCAAATTAATAAATGTAAATAATTTTTCATTTACTGTTGTAGTAAAAATCTACTTCATTGATAAATGATAACTTACCATTGAAATTATCAATAGTCGATAAAGAGGAAATTTATTTCTACATTTAACAGCAGTAGAAAAATACTTTTGATAAATCTTTAACAACAGTGGGAAAAATAGAATTTATTAAAAATTCATTGATTTTACATTTTTAAGAAAATTTGTCGTAGAAAAAAAAACCTTTTATATTTGAATTTGATAAAAATTCCTTATAAATTATTATTGATAAATAAAAAATGCAAAAAAACATTTTTATATTATAGTCTAAATTATGTTAAAAAAATTTTTTTTATATTGTTTTATTACAATTTATTTCTTTAATTCTTATATTATTTTTAAATGTGAAAATTATTATAAATTACTATTATTATCGGTATAATAAAAAAAAAATTCCATTTAAAAAGATATGACATTTAGAGCAAGACAAATATCGATAATGTCTTGAAATAAATGAAATTATCAAGATTAACGAAATTAACGATGACACAAAAGGAAAAATGTGAACTGCAAAACGAAATTTTGATCATTCAAGCAAAAAATTATATTTGAAAAAAAAATGGTGTTAAGGAACAGAGGTGACAGAGGGAGTATTTTCTATCAAATCTTCAATATGTATATATACTATATATATGGGACAGGATCCATATCGCCCCTCCCTCCTTCCTCTTATCCTCTATAGAAATTTAAATAAATATCAAGTTTTTACAAAAGTCACGTAAGTGCAAAAAGTTTTCAGTGAAACAAATAACATAACGAAATCGAAGAAAAGAAGAAAAAAAAATAACATTTGAAAAAGGCTAAAAAAAAAGGAAGAAAACAAGAGAGAGAGAGAGAGAGAGAGAGAGAGAGAGAGAGAGAGAGAGAGAGAGAGAGAGAGAGAGAGAGAGAGAGAGAGAATAATGAAAATTGAAAAAAGCAAATAAGGCAAAAAAAAAAGAACGAACATTCTTGAAAAATGAAACAAACTGAAAGAAATAGAACTGGAAAAAGGGAAGATTAGAAAAAAAAGAAAATATAATCCATACACAGAGATAAAACAGTATTAGAAAAGAAAAAGATAATTAATTGAAAGAGAGAGAGAGGGACAACATTAATTAAATGCGACTATTTTTTTAAAAAAAGAAAAATGTTAAACAATATAAAAAAACAGAATAGACAAAATTTACCAATGCTTTAAAAAAAAAGAAAAAGATGGACAATATCGAAAAAAGAAAAATATTTTTTAGAAAAATAAATAAAGAAAATAAAATTGATCTCTTTAAATCCTCTACGTTTAATAATTGTGAAAAAATAGAAAAAAAAAGTTTTATCTGAAAAAATAAATTATGTCAATAAGAAAATAAATTTTTTAATTGAAAAAAGTATATATATATATATATATATATATATATAATATGAGAACACAATTTTTAAAAAAAAGAAAAAATAAAACTTGCATAAAAAGGAAAAAAAAATTTAATGAGAAGAGAGGCGAAAGGAATATAATTAAAAATTAAAAGGAAAGTGAGAGAGAGAAATAAAAAGAAAAAAAAGAAAATTGCATAAAATCAACAAAGGCAAGATGTATATAATGCTCTAATCTAATAAATAACATATAGTTAAAATAAAATATAAAAAAAAGAAATTAATCAAAAATTCTACAAAATTTATTTTCTAAATTTTAAATATATTCATATTTTTTTATATAGGTTTATAGAAAAATCCAATTTATTTAATTCGCCTTTTTATCATTCATTCTTTAAGGAAATTCTCATAATTTTCTTTTTTTTTTTTTTTTTTTGATAAAAAATAGAAATTCTATTTTTATATTTATCAAATGTAATCCTAAATTTCAACGTTCAAGAGATGTAATTTTCCATAATGTAGAATAGGAAGGGGAAATTATGTTGGCATAATTAATTAGTAGTCGCTGGGAATTCATATTGTATTGAATTACTACAATTTAATTATAGAGCACTACTTAGTTTTCCATTCATGGAATTAGAACATATAAATATATATTAAAAATTAAAAATAAATATGAAAAAATCTAATGAGATACTAAATTATACTCGAGTATATAAAATAAAAATATAATTTCATATGAATCACTATAAATTAAAGTGATTCCTTAGCAGTGCAAAATTACTACCAAATAATTTTTTTAAAAAAAAATGTTTAATTAAATATTCAATATTATTTTAATGAATATATTTTTTTTTTAATTCCAAGTAAATTTCTGTGGAATATTCAACGAACTATTTCATTGAAATATTTTGGAATATTCTAGGAGTATTAAATATTCGGGAATATTTTTAAATATTAGAGAAATATGAGATAGTTTCAAGAATATTTAAAAAATATCAAATATTTTTCGATATTGCAAGAATATTTAAAGAATATCAAATATTTTTCGATATTCCAAGAATATTTAAAGAATATGAAATATTATTCGATATTTCAAGAATATTTAAAGAATATTTCTTTAAAATATTCCAGAATATGAAATATTTGTGGATATTCGAAGAATATTCAAAGAATGTGAGATATTTTTGAATATTCCAAGAAAATTTCTTTGAAATATTTTTAAAAATTCTAAAAATATTCAAGGAATATGAAATATTTGTTGATATTCTCAGAATATTTAAAGAATATCAAATATTATTCGATATTGCAAGAATATTTAAAGAATATCAAATATTTTTCGATATTTCAAGAATATTTAAAGAATATGAAATATTATTCGATATTCCAAGAATATTTAAAGAATATTTCTTTAAAATATTCCAGAATATGAAATATTTGTGGATATTCGAAGAATATTCAAAGAATGTGAGATATTTTTGAATATTCCAAGAAAATTTCTTTGAAATATTTAAAAATATTCTAAAAATATTCAAGGAATATGAAATATTTGTTGATATTCCAAGAATATTTAAATAATATGAAATTTTTCCCGATATTCCAAAAATATTTCTTCGAAATATTTCAGAATATTAAAAAATATCCAAGATTATTTAAATATGAGATAATTTTGAATATTCTAAGAGTAATTTCTTTGAGATGCTCCACAATATTAAATGAATATAAAGTATTTTTTGATATTCCAAGAATAATTAAAATAAAATATTTTTAAAATCTTTCCAAGTATTCAAAAATATTCAAAAGCATTTGAAAATTAAAAAAAAATTAATTAAAATTTTGCGAGAAACTGAAAACAAATTATTGATTAAAAAATAACAAAAAATGAAATCATCTCTGTATACCAACACGCTCAATATTGATAAAAATCACATACTCTGGGATATTGAATACAAAATATAATTCTTTTTTTTTTTTTGTTTTAATTCGTAAACCTTTCTTCATTCTCTGCCAAGGCTATATAATCAGCTGTAAAGAATAATTTATCAGTACGTGCAGATTGACATTCATGATAAAATAAAAAAATTTGATTTCGTGCTAAGTTACTATAGTCACTTTTATTCTCAAGAGTTTCCTGTCAATGTGAATGATAATATATATATATTTTTTTTCATCATTATGAAACTAGTATGTGTATAAACTTCATTTTGAAAGATATATGTTTAATAAAGTTTGTAAAAATTTCCTTGTGACGTTAAAAAATATTAATTTTTTTTTTTTGTTTGTAAACAAAAAGGTCGTATGTCATATTATTTGCCACATAAGGGGATTTCCTTAAAATTGCTAAACTTTTCCTCATCGTATGAGTAAAATTAATTTTTAAATTACGTTTCATAAAATAATTATATTGTTATCTGGCTCACTTGCGTTTTTATCTATTTATGTGAGAATTTTCTCATCTCTTGCACAGTAATTTTTGTGATGTCATACATTCTAAAGCATTTCATTTCATAGAGGACTTATATATATTTATTGTTTTGTTAAAGTATATTATTTCGACTTTCGTGGATATATATATAAATATAGGCAAGTGGTTATAGTGTTCTTGTTCTTATTTCTTCTATACATATATACCAATAATAATTGTTGGCAAATGCATTTTCACCACAAAATAATTAATTAAAAACTCATTCGCAGTTACAGTCTCCAATTAACGCAACTGCTTTTGGCTTTAATTTTCTCTTTTTCAAACCGCAGAATAAAGCTATTAGTATACAATTTCTATCTCTCTAGTCTGATTTTTAAATTACTACTAAGTTATAGAAAGTTTCTTATTTTTTTTTTTTTTTATGCATAAGTATATCATTATTCTGTTATCAAGTTTCATCAATTATCATATTTTTATCAGATTATATTTTATCGTTTTATTTTTATTTTCATTTAATTTCTCTTAGTTAAACAATAGTGATTTTGTTTTTTATTTATTTTATAAATTTTTATTATTATTTATATTTTATTAATAATTATTATTTATTTTATTAATTGTTATTATAATTATTTTTTATTATAATTTATTAGTAATTATAGTTCTAAATTCTAAATAAATTGATATTTAAAAAGAAATATCAAATTCGTTAAATTCCTTTTGGTTAAAAATTTGTAAAAATTTAAGCAATGCTTTAAAAAAAAAACCACCTCTGGAAATATTTGACAAAGAGTAAGTGTACTCACTATTTTTCTGTTTGTAATTTACTTTTATTTTCTTGCTATTTTATTTCTTTTCCCTTTTATGTATCCACATTTCGAGCTTGACATTCCAGGACATCGTTATTGGGCAATATTTCGCTTAGAAACTCATTCACTGCTTTTTTTTTTTTAATACTCAAAACATTTATTTTTACTGTTACATATTGTAAACTATCATGGATATTATTCAAATATCAATTTTCTGATATTTTCAATATAAAACTACTTCGTCAATTATAAAAATAAATAATTTTTTAAATAAATATTTAATATGAAATATTGAATAGTTAAATTATTGTTTTAATTAATCATTAAATTTAATTGTTATAATTGTTATCAGACAATATTTGTTTAATATTGTTTAATTTACATATATATGAAAATAATTATTTTAAATGATTTTACATATATCGATATATATATATATAGATGCATCGTAAATAATGTTTATTACACATTTTCAGACAATGGAGTTCGATCATGAAGAGCCAAAGGGAAAATCTGATTGGACATTTGGTAGGATTTGTCTTTCACTGGTAAATTTAGTAAATCACATAATGATAGGATTTTTAACAATTTATATTATCTACTTGGGACGTAATTTATCAAATAATACAAATCTTCATGCGGTATTGTCAACAGTTGGTGTAAGTAAAAAAAAAAAAATTTTTTTTATATAAATAATTTTAAAAAATATTTTTTTTTTCATTTATTTCCCTTGTTTAATGAACTAAAAAAAAATAATATTCCTATCCTCATATTATTGTCTTCGTAAAATAATATAAAGAAGCTTTGATCGGAAATACTTGAAATTTTTTAATCTTTCCATTTGATGAACTACGATAATAAGAATTGCAGCAGGTATGCTATGAATTTAAAAAGTGAAAGAGAAGAATTTTCTATTCTTCTATTCGAAAAACGATTTTATAAAGTAGATCAATAAAGAACAAGCTAATAAGTGAGAAGTTATAACTCAAAAAACTAAAATTAAAAAAAAAAGCTTACGAAATTTATAACATTTTTTTTAAATTAAGTAAAAAAAAATAAAGTGATACAAAAAATCAATAAAATTTTTTTCCAACTTCCAAAGTTTGTGAATCTAAATGTACACATTTATAAATAAAAAAAAAAAAAAAAAAAAAAAACGTGAATATTTCTATAGTTTCATATATGGTAAAATGTGAATAAAAGTTTCTTGAATTAAATATCACACAGGATTTGTCATATTCTTTTCTTTATCTTCTTTTCTTGGGGGATTTTTCTTTTATAAATATCTCATACGCTGACAAAGTTTCTTTTTTTTCTCTCTCTATTTGAATAATATATCAATATCTAAAAGTGAAACACAACCACACTATAAATCTGATAATCGATATTCAACATTAATTTTTTATCATATATATATATATATATATAACGTATAAACTCGCGTATGAAGCGTTATTCAAATATATATATATATTAAATATAATAAAATACAAATAAAAGTTTATGACTCATGTTTAATTGTCAAACAAATAATTCAGTTTTGTCTCCTTTTAAACTAAAATCTTAATTAAACCTTGGCAATTTAAATTTACGGTTCGCTTAAAGAGAGAAATAACCGCTACGCTACACTATGTTTGTGTACTATATAATTTAATGTAATTTAATTAAAATGTAAATTTGCGTGAAAATTGTCCTTTGTGTTGTGCGAATAAAATAATTGATTGACTTAAAATTTCTTTTTACAAATTCATTTATAATATAATAATGTGTGTTGAGATAGAGAGAAAAAAGAGTTTTTAAATTCCAATGAATGCACACATTGTTTTCAAATGCATGTCAAAAAAAAAAATTCAAATGAAATATTTATTCATAAATGTAATATATTTTACTATATATTAAAATTTGCCCACCATTCTAAAAGATATTTTGTTTCATACATTGTTCAATATTAACTATAGTATAATAATTTTTTAATTTATTTATTGACATTAAACAAAGAAGCACAAAACAAGAAAAATAAACGAAATTCCAATAATGAATATAATACTTTCATATATATATATGAATATATATATATATATATATATATATATATATATATATATTGATGAACAATAAAAAATTATTTTTTTAAATTTTAATTGAAAATAAATTTCAAAGGATTATTTTTTAATTAAAATTTAGAATTTTCTTTGGTTCACATTTAGGCAAGCAATTAGCAGATACAATATTTTTTATATACAATTTTTGTGCACAGGACCGTAAATTATTCTTTTCAAATTTGACGCTTATTTCGTTCTACTATTTGGAATATCTTATTTAAATATTTAGAATATTTCAATTAAATATTTAGAATATTTATTTAAATACTTGGAATATTTCAATTACATTTTTGGAATATTCATTCAAATGTTTAGAATATATCAGCTAAATATTTGGAATATTTCAATTAAATATTTGGAATATTCATTTAAATATTTGGAACATTTAGCAATATTTGAAATATTCATTTAAATATTCGGAATATTAATTTAAATATTTGAAATATTTAGTAATATTTGAAATATTCATTTAAATATTTTAAATATTTAGTAATATTTGGAATATTCATTTAAATATTTGGAATATTTATTTAAATATTCAAAATACTTAAATTAATTATTTAGAATATTTGAATTAAATATTTGTAATACTTTAATTAAATATTTGGAATATTTGAAATATTCATTTAAATATTTGAAATATTTAGTGATACTTCAATTTAATATTTGGAATATTAATTTAAACATTTGGAATATTCATTTAAATATTTGGAATATATCAATTAAATATTTGGAATATTTCAATTAAATATTTGGAAAATTCATTTAAATATTTGGAACATTTAGCAATATTTGGAATATTCATTTAAATATTCGTAATATTTATTTAAATATTTGGAATACATCAATTAATCATTTGGAATATTCATTTAAATATTCGGAATATTTTTTTAATTATTTGGAATATTTCAATTAAATCTTTGGAATATTTAGTAATATTTGAAATATTAATTTAAATATTTGAAATATTTTGTAATATTTAGAATATTCATTTAAATATTTGGAATACATCAATTAATTATTTGGAATATTTTAATTAAATATTTGGAATATTAATTTAAATATTGGGAATATTTATTTAATTATTTGGAATATTTTAATTAAATATTTGGAATATTAATTTAAATATTTGAAATATTTAGTAATATTTGAAATATTCATTTAAATACTTGGAATACTTAAATGAAATATTTGGAATACATCAATTGAATATATCTTTTATTGAAAAATTTAATTAAAATTTATCTAGAATATTCCAAAAAAATTCTTTGGAATTGAAGTTTCATTGAAACGTATCTGGAATATTCCTAACAAATATTCCATCCATTTTTCAGATGTGTATATAAATATTCTACATCAAAAATCTTCAGCTAAAAATATATTGCAAAAAATTGATTTTTTCTTTATTTTCCAATAAAATTCAAACATTCTTGAATACTCCAAAATATTCCAAATTCTTTAATATTTTTCCTGTAAAGTTAATTTTATCTCAATTTTTTATTATTGAAATTAAGAAAAAATTAACTTATTAAATTGTATTTTATTATATAAAAAAAAAAAATTGAATTCAAAAGTTAATTTTCACTTCATTTTTCTAGGATCACAAGTATATTGAATGAAAATAGTAAATATAAATTGTTTATTTAAAATATTGATCTTTTCTATATATGTATGTATGTAAATTGAATCTGTGCATGAGAAGAGAAAGAAAAAGAGAGAGAGATGGATTTTGTTGATTTTTTAAAGGGAAAAAATATTTTATATATAAAAACGATCACGAATAGTCTTTTCAATTGACATAAGGTCACTGTTTTGTTATTTACATAAGTTCACTCACTCACAGTTTAATGTAAACAAATTGCACGAGTCAACGTATGGATAGTAGGAAATGGTTGCACTGCGCACCAGTATAATGTAAACAACCACAGTGCCAGAGGCTATCCTAGCCTGGTAGAAATCGTAAGTCTACTTGCAAAGCTATTTCCGTGCTACTGCTCCATAAACGTGCAAGATAAAGAAAATACTCAAGACAAAATGTTTAAAAGCCTTACGGCTTAATATAAAAACATTTTTAATGAAAATAATCATTTTATATATACTTATCAATTTTCACTCATTTTCGAAATTAATTAATTTTTTTTTTATGTTCAAATTTTTGTGGTTTTTTTTTTCATCCTATTTGACTAGGTAAATTGGAAAATAGACAAATATTTCCAATATTAATAATAATATTTATAATATTTAAAATATTTATAATAATATTTATTTATATTCTAAAAATAGAAAAAAGTCATTTAAATAATTTTTTTTTACTCATTTTTCATAATTGACATTGAATTCCACTTCTTAAATAGAATAAAAAGTATGCGCGCAAAGAAAAAAAGAAATGCTAAAATCTCTGTAAATTGCTTTCATTTATAGAGCAGTAATCTTTATTTTAGAGAAATAATTTTTGAAAGGAATATTTTCATCAAAGAGAAAAAAATTAAGTCATATATTTTAATTCAAATAGAAAAATAAATATATCTTCTTTTTCAGATGAATAAAAAAAATAAATAAATAATGTGAAAATAATAAATTTATCACTGGAAGATTTCTCTCAGATTTTTTTTCACAAACAAACAAAAAATTTAATTCTATTTTTTATTTCATTTTTTTTCTAATACTATTTTAGTACAGATTTTATTTCACTTTCTATATCTATCTATATATATATATATATATATATATATATATATATATATATATATATATATATATATATATATACTTGACTATTTTCTTTTTTCATTTCCGATGGCAGCGAAGTCTTGGAAAATTTGACAAGTCTTGAAGAAATATGTAAGGACCAATTTTATGTGTCATTTTTCGCAACAGATGCTCGGACTAGATTTCAAGCATGAAAGGATAAAGTAGCGAAAATATTTACTCAATCCGGTGACAGCTTATCAATAAAGCAAACTTTTTTTTTTCTTTTTTTTTTGCGCGCATACCCTCCCCTCTTTTTTTTTAAAAAAGTATTTGAAAATCGACAGCTGCACTGCGTGTGATGAATATTAACATATTTTCAAGCAGTATGCACAACAAAAAAAGTAAAAAAAAAAATAAATAAATAAATAAACTCAAAGGAAAAGTTATTTTATTTTCTTTGTTTTTCCCCCCTAATTCGATTAAACTTGTTGAGAGAACAAGTTAACTGGGTCTGCGAAAGGCGTTTAAATCTTTAATTACTTAATACTTCATGTTTTTCTTTGAACAATTTTAATTGGAATTTATAGTGGAAAAAAAAATTATTTTTATGAAATTTTTTCCTTATAATATAATTCTATTTTTATTAATTTTAATACTCACACAGTATTCAATTGGAATTAAAGAATATCTAAAAAAAATTTTTTTTTAGTTGAATATTGAATAATATTAAAGAATACTTTTTGAAATAATTCAAAAAAAATATTTTTGTAAAAAAAATGCAATAAAATATTATTCTGAAATATTTCTACAATATTTATTTTCTGGAATATTTTTCAGCAATATTTAAATATTAAATGATATTAAAGAATACTTTTTGAAATATTTCAAAAAAAAAATATATTTTTGAAAAAAAAATTCAATGAAATATTATTCTAAAATATTTCTACAATATTTAATTTCTGGAATATTTTTCAGCAATATTTAAAGTAATACCTTTTTAATATTTTGTGCGAATATTCCAAAAATATTTTTGGGAAAAATTCTATAAATCATATTTAGTTTGGAATTTTTGTACAATATTTATTTCTAAAATATTTTTTCTAGCAATAATAAATAATATTATTCTTTGGAAATATTCCAAAAATAATTTTTAGGAAAAAAATAAATGAATATTATTTTGGAATATTCTTAGAATAATTTTTATTAATATTTATAAAAATATTTTGGAATAATTTTTGAAATATTCCAAAAATATTTTTGAAAAAAAATTCCATGAATATTAACATGGAATATTCCTGTAACATTCTTATGAATTCCTAGAATTTTTTCAGTAATATTTAAAGAATATTTTGAAATATTTTTTAAAATATTCCAAGAAGGTATTTATTATTGTTATCATTATTATTATTATTATTATTATTATTATTATTATTATTATTATCATTATTATTATTATTTTTGCAATATTCTCGTCTTCTTAAAAAAAATGTACCAAAGATTTTGCCAAAAAAAATTTCTCAACTACTTTCATCTTATGACTTTCAATTTTAATTACCTACTTTTCTAGTTAATTTTCTCGCACTAAAAACTTGATAAAAAGTTGAACACCGAATAAATATTTGTTCAAGTTCAATATTTGTTTGGGGTGGTTTTTTTTTTTTTTTTTTTTTTTGAAAAATAAAATGATACACGTCTAACAGTGTGAATCAAGTTGCCAATATAAAGATTATATCAAAAGAATGATATTCACCCTCCGCGAGAAAAATTGTAGGGAAAAAAAAACAAATTTAAGAAAAATATCTCAATCCACGTGTGATTTGACAATTAATTTTTGTTTTTTTAATTTTTCAAATTAGAAAAATTAAATTGAAAAAAATTCTCGGAAAATTTGTTTTTATTTTTTTTTCCTCCATTTTTAATACACCTTCCCATTTGATTAAAATTAATTTTGCTGCTGCTTTCGTTTTTTTTTTTTTTTTTTTTTTTTTCTTTTTTTGTAAAAGTATTTGACGTTCTGACACTACTTTTCAGTACGTTCTTTTGATGTCCGAAGCCATAGTCGTTCTCGCTGAGGAAAATCTTTGGACAAACTTTCTATCACGTCAAGTAAGCAAGTACATTCACTGGATTTTACAAGTTGGAGCTGCAGTTTTCATTATCGTTGGAGTTGGTGTAAAATATGATAAAAAAGAAAATCATTTCCTCTCAACTCATGCTATTACCGGGATCATTTCTGTTGGTCTGATAATATTTGTCGCTTTAACGGGAATTTTTGCATTAAACTCAGTGAAATTGAGACGTATTATAAAGCCAGTGTTATTTAAATTAATTCACAATATTTTTGGTATTGGATGTTTTGTTATTGGTATGACATCATTATTATATGGTTATGAGAAAAAATGGATGAAAGTAAATGCATCTTATGAAATGAATTTAACTTGTGTAATATTAACATACGCGATTACAGTGTTTTCCCTTGTTGGAGCTTTGAGTTCTCTCTGTAACCAACTTGGTATAATCAGATAAATAAGTTAATTTCGAAGAAGAAAAAAAAAATGATATCATATAATGTTTACGAGACATATAATAACTTTTGAAAGCAAGTGTATCTCACGCTGAATAAGAAGCAACTTTAAAACCACCCCCTCCCCCCCATCCCCCTTGGCATGAAGTGGTTCCATAAAAATTTTCATGCTACTATGTAAAGCTTGTCTACTCAAGGGTTTAAGGAAGAGAAATTTCAAAAAGTCTTTTTTGAATATGAATTCCCCTATTATTAAACAAGAACACTTTCTTGAAAAACATTTCTTTTTTTTTCATCATTTTTCTCAATACAAAACAAATCTTTAAATTATTTTTCGTTTTCTTTTGAAGATTAATTTTTTTTTATCATTATTATTAATATTATTATTATTACGCATTAGTACCTTTTATTATTATTAAAATCGAAAAAATATTTTTTTTAATAACAAATTTCTTGCTGTAATAAAAACTTTATTTTCCCTTGTAATAAAATTTTTTCCAAACAAGTAAAAAATTTTTATATAAATAAAATAAGGAGAATTTTTTTTTTTTTTTTTGAAAGAAGAAAAGAAAAATAGTTTTATTTTCATTAAAATCTTTTTGTATAAAAATTTTTTCAAATCACTTTCAATCGTCTTAATTCAATTATAAAAGGACTCTTAACGTTATTTTTATACAAAATGAAAATAAAAAAATATTTTAAAAAATTCCACGTTCTTTATTATATAATAAAACAGAATGTTTTAATTACACTATATATATATATATATAGTAAAATCTTGATTATATTTATAATTAGAAGAAAAAGGGTTTTTATTCTTATTATTGTAATATACAAAAGAAATTTTATTACAAGATACTTCATCAAGTATGAAAGAGAGAATAGTCTTTTTGAATTTTTTTTTAATTAAACATTTAATTTAGAAGTAAAATAAATGTCTTTGAAAAAAAAATATTCAGTTTACAAAACTATAAATTTCATTTCATCCAAACGGAAGTATTTCATTTTATAAAAATTCTTCGCATATGACAAAAGAAATTTATAATTAAGCCTTAGCGTTTTAAATCATTAATAAACAAATTTATATATATATATATATATATATATATATATATATATATATATATTTATAACTGAGTGACAAAAAGTGAATTGTACAGTATAATTTATTAAAAAAAATTTTAAAATATGTAAATTTTAGAATATAGTGAAAATTATGATCAAATAAAATGATGAAAAATTTCAATTAAACTTTATTGTTTATAAATGAATAATAAATATTCATTTATTTAATAAAATATTCAATAGATATTGAATTAATTAATAAATTAAGTTTTAATATATATATATATATATATATATATATATATATATATATATATATATATATATTAGTTTAATAATTATTTAATTAATATTGAATTATGTATAATAAACATTGATATTATGAATGTTATTGTATTATTGTTTCAATAAAAATATAAAAACTAATAATGAAACTCTGATTGTTGAAAAATATTCATTACGGTTTTAAAGTTATCCCTTTATCGAGCTATTTATGATTAAAATTTGTATTTACTGAATTGAACATTGTATACGCTTTTGACTTTGTATTTCATTTCAAAAACATTTTCCAACGCAAAAGCCATGAAATATAATTTGCAGTTTACACTCAAAATAAATTTAAATATCTCACTGGGAAATTACTCACTCGAAAATGGCAAGTACACAGTCAATTTACTTATTTTTTTTTTCAAATCTTATTATTATACTAATAACATTAATAATTTTGTTTTCCAAAAAAAAAAATACTACGGAAAACATTTTTAATCTAATGTAATTGAAAATTATGTTTTATCAATAAAAAAAAACATCTATATAATATTTTTTTCTATAAAATATTTATATCTTCTGGTTAATTTATGAAAAAATATTCTAAAATGAAAAATAATTACACCTATTTCTGTAAAAATACATTTCACACACGATTTATGAACTTTGAAATGTTCATAAATTATGAAAAATATCATCTATTTTTTTATCTTCAATTTCTTTTTTTTTCGATAGGCCATACATATGAAGAAATTTCTTTGGCTTTATGATCATCGAGAATGTCACACAGCTGTATAAAACCTTTTTTTATAGAATCGTAACTTGTTTCCATAAATTTCTTGATAAAATGTCTCACATTCTTATAAAATCTTTAAAAAAAATATATATATTTTCAATTTTTAAGAGATGAGAAATCATCTTTTTAGCTATATCATTTACACACAAATTCTATAACCAAAAAAAAAAAAATTAAGAAATAATCATCAAAAAGAATAGAAAAAAAATTTTTTCCCACAAAATTCAATATCCAATTTTATAGATAAAAAAAAAAAAAAAAAGTTTTATGTAGACTTTTTTTTATAATACCTATTTCCAAGTTTACCCTAAGTTCTCGCCAGAAGAACCCTCTGGTATTATAAATTCACTTTTTAATGGAAAAAGCAACTCTCGAAGGAGAAAAACATAAGCAAAAAAAAAAAAAAAAAAAAAAAAAAATGAAAAACTGTGGTTGCTTTCTTTTGTTATCGTGGAAAACCTTACGTGTGAAGAAATTCAAATAATACTTCCTCTCTCGATCAGTTTTTTCGAATTAAAAAAATATAATAATATACTTTCAAATGAAAGGAATGTTTCGTTAAAACTTATAGTTTTTTTTTTTGTACAAAAACAACTTATTCTACAGAATTATTTCATTGTTGAAAAAATATCAGAAATAATTTTTTGTTTTTGTAAATTGTTGAAATTTATTTACTTGTTTGAAAAAAATTTGCAAAATTTATCAGAATTAAAACTATAGAAAATTATTATTATTATTATTATTATTATTATTATTATTATTATTGTTCGTGAAATATGTGTTGATAAAATCACGACAATAGAAAATAATTTATAAGCGACAGGAGAGAATGGTTGTTTTCCAAATAATCGTTGTATGGGTTCCTCGAGATTAATTAAAATGATGCTGTACTATTACATTATCTTTAAGCTTTAGAACCGTTATACATACCTGCGTTATTTCTACGATATTGCAGTACATTGCCACCATAGTATGTACTTAGTGTGTACACTAGCCCATTAGTCCAATAATGAAGGATCCCACTTAACTAGGATTTGTTGAACAAAACATTTACATATAATTATATGTGCTTAAATAATACTGTAATTAGAGAACACATGAAACCATTTCACTTAAATGTGGTTACATAGGTATTTTCTCTAAACACTATACGTTAACACAAAATATTGAAAAGCATCAATTTCAATTTAAGCAATTTTTTACAAAACATTTAAAGTCCCTATATATAAAACTTTCTTTTGACAAATTTTTTTTTTTAAATTTAATAAAATTTTATTTTTGGATTTATAATAAAATTTTAGCTATTCAATGAAATGAAAATTATTTTTACTAAAAATTTCTCTTACTATTGATATATAATAAGTAAAAAAGATGGGAGAGTCAGTCTGACTACAAATTTACTCATACTACTGGCAACATAATATGTCTGACTGAAACAGACTTTTACTACTGAAAGTGAAATAACACCTAATTGAAAAATTGTCTTCCAAAAACTACAGATATGGAAATTAGAAAAAAATTTCTGTCTTAAAACCACCTTTCACTACTTTTATTAAAAAATAACCATTGACCCTTACTACTGATATAAGAAATGATAAAAAAAATTACATTTAACTTATACTACTTACGAGAATGGTATAGAAATTAGTAAAGTTACAGTCTGACGAAAACCATTTTTTTCTACTAAAATAGAAAAATTACAAAATTAAAAAAAAATTGTCTGACCAAACCTATTTTTCACTACTAAAATGAAATTTTTTTAATTTTTCAAATTATTTTACAATTTGTAAAATTTTACTACGAAACTTACTTTTACTACTGATATTAAATTTTGCGAAAAATCGAAGTATGATCTGTCTGACCAAAAACTACTTCTACTACTGATTTAAAAAAAAATTACACAAAGCACACGAGAATTTTAGTCTGACTAAAACCAGCTTTTACTACTATAATTTAAAAACTAAAAAAATTTAATTTTAATAACGTAATATATAATTATAAAATTTTTTCACACTACTTTTTAATATTTTATAATGTCTGACTAAAACTGTTCTGCACTACTGCTGCTGTCACATTATAAATTTTTCGAAAAAATGTCTGACTAAAAATATCTCACACTACTAGTGCCTAAAACAAAAAAAATCAAAAAATTTCTTCTAAATGAAGTTATCCGAAATTTTTTTTTTTATACTACTGATAAAAAAAAACATGCAGAGGATATAACAGAATCTCACAAATCTAATTTGACGAGACAGTTATTTATTATATTACATAGAATTGATTATGTCCTAAAAGTTATGTATTTATGTAATAATAATTTATCTAGTACTTTAATATATATATATATATATATTTATATACCTATGAATATGTTATTATATTTAATACTAATTCTAATATAATACTCATAAATAATAAAAAAATAATAAAAACAATAATAAAAAAATAAAATAATAATAATAATAATAATAATAATAATAATAAATCAAATAATTGTAATTTTAATCATATTCAAAATTAAGAATGTTTTTTAAAATCACTTCGAAATATATATATAATAACTTGTACTCGAAATTATTGCGCACCTATGTTTGTGTGTGTGTGCGCGCATTTTCATACATTGTCAATCACACATTAATTCATCACAGCTCACACGAATCTCACTCAGAAGAAGAAACTTTAAATTATCTTCATTACTGTCATGTATAACTTCTGTAATTGTTCTATTCACAATTGTGAAGTTTTGGCCTTTATCAACTCCATTATTTAATTACTGTATAACTTATTAACTAAATTGTAAACAGATGTGATAAAACAATTTTCAGGTCACTCGCAAAACTTAAAGTAGTTATTATACGAATATATATATATATAATATATACTTTCCATCGTTAACAAACTTTATAAGTTGCTTAAAACTTGAAAATAAAACGCGGCTACTTTTCCACACTTGGCAATATAATAATAATAATAATAAAAATAAAAATAATAATAATAATAATAATAATAATAATAATAATAATTGTAATAATAATAATAATAATAATAAAAAATTATAATAATAATTTCTTTAAGCATTAAAATATTACCATGAAAGACGAGGGTAAAATTCGATGATAATTTTCTATTAGTATAGTTTAACATTATCACAATTTACAATTTTATTTTATTTTCTTTTATTTATTTTCTTACAATGAATGAAAGAAAAGATGCAAGTAATGAAAGATGACATTTTATGATTCAATTTTCTCTAGAAAAGCAAAATGAATTCCATGAGAAACAATCAAGTCTTTGCAGAAATAAAAGGACATTCGCTATTAATATAAAAAAAAAAAGTTATATTCATTAGAAAAATAAGAAATTAATTTCACTGACAAAAGAGAAAAATGAAGAATTATTATTATTTATTATAAATGAAAAATGATTTTTTTTTTATAATACTGTAACGGAAATTTTTCCATTATAAAAGAGAAAAAAAATAATATATATGTAATTGGCAATATAAAACAAATATTA